GAAGGAAGGAAGGAAGGAAGGAAGGAAGGAAGGAAGGAAGGAAGGAAATAAATCTGGTGAATTCCAATTGACTTTAAGACAGAAATGTATAATGTTCAAGCTGGAAGATCAACTAATCCTGTGTCAAAACCTAGATAGCCTTCTTTCATGTACAATGAGATCCTCCAAAATTTCATCCTCCAGATATATTGAGACTACAAATTTCAGAATTCTCAAACAGCAGCAGGATCACCATAGAGGCTCTCTGAGAAGCCATAATGCTTTTGATTCAGAGAAGGTGCTAATTTCCAGAAGCCTGAGTTGAAGTTCCTGTCATCTATTATCTCATAATGAATATTTTAGTGTAAATTGTCTGTTCAAAAAAATAAAATGATGCCTCTAGGTGCATCAGAACAAATCTAGTTCTCTAAAAACAAGAATAAAAAAGAGTTTTTATATATCAAAGATGATTTAATCTTCATCATAGACACTTTCTTCAACACTGATTGTGGGACAACTGCTCCTAAAAGACAGCAGACAAAGTGGAAAGGCAAAGAACAGACCAATAATCCACAATTCCCTGCTATAGAAGTATGTTCCATCTAAGGAAACTGAGTGATTTGGTAATGGTACAACTATCCTGTGTTTATGTAGAAGAAAGGCCCTTACCAAACATAAATCAGAATTAACAAGGATTAATTATTCTTTTTTGTTTTTCAGTGACAATTTCCAGGTGTATAAAACATGAGACTTCATATAAAGTATATTTAAGCCAGGCTAAGAAAAAAAAAAGAACTATGGCACACCATTGTTTTATTTTCCTTTTTTATTCCTAGTTTCTGAAGCTAAATGACACACTATGCTGGGTGAAAGCATAAGGTTTGGTCATGGCATTTGTGCTGCATCAGTTGACTCCATCAATTTTTGAAGAGTAACGCAGCTGGCCATGAGGGTATACCCTGCAGCCAGCATGCCCATTAGGATCCAGATGCTAAGCACAGGCAAAAGAGCCTTAAAAGATCGTACAGTGTCTCTGCTTATCCTCTGGAAATTACTTCCTGAATGGGGAGGTTTTATTGTCATGACTCAGCTACTGTGACAGATAATGGGATCCACAGGATTTCAGCACTAGCAGGCAAAAGTGGGTTCTATATATATGTGCAAATCTACTGACTAATGACATCTCTGTCCTGGAAACATTTAAGACATTTTTCTTTCAATTGGCAGATTTTCACAAGGAAAGATTCCCTTCCACCACCGCCCTATAAAACATCAGTGGAATTTTGTACACCTCAACTCAGACCTAAGCTTCACTAATTTCAATGTAGCTTTTTCCAGGATAAGGGAATGTCATATTAATGCTAAAGGAAGCTACCTTGAGTTCCCAGAGAGGATTGTTGAAAGCCCATGACAGCATGAGTTTCTGTCTGGTATCAGAAGTCCTCAACTTACAACCATAACTGAGCCCATAATTATGATCATAAGCCACAGGAGGGCTGTTAAGGGCTGTAACCATGTGACCACACCTGATTTTACTAAAAAAATTTTGCAGCAGTCATTAATCAAAGGCAGCAGTTGTTAAATGAATTAATTATAGTCAATGGATGTTTTTTTGCTGGAAACTGGCAAAAATAAATGCCAGAAACTTTAAAAAAAAAAACTCATGAGACTGCAGGATACTGCAAAGGACCATAAATATGAGCCAGTTGCCAAGCATCCAAAATGAGATCATGTGACAACAGAGATGTGTACAGCCATCAGAACTTCAAAATTGGGTTGTAAGTACCTTTTGGGGGGTCCCTTGTAACTTTAAACAGTCATTAAGTGACTGGTTGTTAAGAGAGAAGTACCTATAATGAAGAGCAAGAGCCATAGTCACAGAGGCGGATCTTCAGTTGTAAACCTCTTCAGTGTAGAAAGTTCTGCTTGCTATTACTGAGCTGCCAGATCAACTCTTCAGATGGAAACATTTATGGTGGGGATAGTCCAAGGTGGCCTCTGTATATTGAATATCTAGATTCAAGACCAATTAGGCTGACAAAGCACATTTCCCTTAGTTACTAAAAACCTACTAAAATAAATGGAACATACTTTTCAAAGAAGAGTGTTCAAAGAAGTTTTCAAGGAAGAGTGTTCAAAGAAGTTTTCAAGGACTCACATCTCATGTTAATGTGTATGTATTTATTGCAACATGTATCACCTTCTCCAAACCTTTAACATAAAAAACATGGAGCATTTTTCTAAATGCTTAGCTCTTGCCTCTGAGTAGATATACAGAAAGATTCACTATTAATTATTAATATGTGGACTGAAATAGTTATATGAGCAGCTGTCAAATTGCAACACTTTTATGTCAAAAGCAGATATGTAATTTGTTCTGTATTAATATACTCCAAAAGGTAAATTCTGATTGGTCCTCACGAACTGCAATCTGATTGGCCGACTCAGCAACTGTGATTGGCTTACTTAGAATCAACCGCGATTGGCCGAGCTGATCGCGGGAGATTCAAAGTGCTGTCACTGGCCGACAAGCCATGAGCAATCCCTATATGAAGGGCTGCCGCGACTCCAAGATTTTGTACAGATCTTAATATAAAATAAAGAGTTTGAAGTGCACTGGTCTCGCGTCTCATTTGTACCCGATCCAACACTGGTGATGAAGGTGGGAT